CGCCTCGCCTCGCCTCGCCTCGCCTCGTCTGCTGAGCCACTCCGCCGCTTTGGGTTGGAATATTCTTCCGCCGCCACACCTCTTGCCTATCGACTTGGCCCGGTCATCCTCTTGCCACCTTTGGCTCGCCACAACCACCTTCATCATTTCCCTAAACACATCCACGCGCGCCGCCTTGCTTTCTATTGGACGAAGCCGACCCATCTTTCATACCGCCACTTCATATCCTCCAAAAAGCCACCCTTCAGTGGGTATCTGCGAATCCCAGGCGCTGCTGCTCACATTCCGTCTTGGCTTCTGTGCCGATGAGTTCGCCATCGCAGCACACCAGCACCAACAATGCATTCGTCACCCTCCTGACCTCCGACCACTACCTGCCCGGCGCACTCGTTCTCGCCGAGTCGCTTCGCATCAGCCATGGACACGCCAGGAAGGGCAAGGCACGCGCCGGCACTTCGCGAAGCGCAGCCACCACCGACTTTCAGGTGGTGGCGCTCATCACCCCAGATACGCTCTCGGTGCAGTCCATCAAGGCGTTGCGGCGAAGCGGTCTGTTCGATTGGATCGTAGGTGTCGAGCCCATCGGCTTCCGTCAGATTCTCTCCTCTTCCACCCATGCTCCCACCACCGTCACGACCGGCATCAGCGGCAGCAGCACGGCGCGCGACGCCGCAGTGCTCGACTCGGAGCTCGACGCAAAGATCCGCGATATGGAGAGGAATCTTGGCTTGCTCGGCCGTCCCGATCTCACCAACACCCTCACCAAACTCCACGCCTGGAGGCTGGGTCGCGACTCGGCACTTCTCGTGGCCCAAGCCGCCTCTCCCGTCGATGGCAGCGATCAGAAGTGGCTCGGATTCGACAAGCTCGTCTTCCTCGACGCCGACACCCTCGTCCTGCGCCCCATCGACCACCTCTTTCGTCTCGGATCCAGCGTCCACTTCGCCGCGGCTCCAGACACAGGCTGGCCCGATGCCTTCAACAGCGGCGTCATGATGCTCACACCCTCCACCGACACATTCGAAGCGATACGCTCGTTTGCTCGTACGACTGGCTCTTGGGACGGCGCCGATCAGGGCCTCCTCAACGACTTCTACGGCTCCGACGATAGCTCGGCTTCTCTCCCAGACGAGGCACAATCGCCCGATACGTCCTCAGCGCCAGGCGGGGGCTGGAAGAGGCTCAGCTTCCGATACAACGTCACCAGTCACGGAGGATATACGTTTGCGCCGGCATATCAGCGCTACGGCCAAAACATCAACATCGTCCACTTTATCGGTCAACACAAGCCGTGGAACCGGCCCAGGCCACATGGAAGCGCTCAGCCCAATCCTCTCGTGGCACCACGCGATCTCGACAGCCAGCCCATCACGCCAGATCAGCCTGACTACCTGCTTGCCCTCTGGCACAGCGCCTTCGCCTCTCTCTATCCGTCCTCGGGCTCCGCATCGCCGGACAGCGAGATCGAGATCGTACACACCGAACGCGGGGTCGAGGTGGTCGAGCGCAGAAACTTCACCGTGCCCACCTATCACGCCGTCTGGGACGCCGAGGCGCGCGAAGAAGATGTCTCCTCGTCGGGGCTTGGCTTTGGTATTCCTGTAGCTGCCTGCGAGTCTGCTCCTGCGCAGCCGCGCGCGCACCAGCATTGGGAAGCCTCGTATGCCAGCTTACCGCTCGACGGCAGAAGCTCGCTCATCCCGCCCGTGCCCGAGGTGGCTCGTACGCCCTCGCCGCCCACACCGACACAGGAGAGCATCGACGCCGAGTTGCGGTCGCGCGACGCAAGTCCGGCGCAGCCCATCCCTGTTCCGGTATCCAGCATTCAGCACGGCAGTGCCGCGAACAAGGGCGATGAAGACGACAGCGATACGTCGCCGCAGCACTACTCTCCGCCCAAGCTCTCGTGGAACCCCGCCCACGGGCCTCCGCCGACCGGGTCGGGCGCCGCGCTGTACCAGATGCGCGTCCCCATCGATGCCTACTACGCAAACATCTGGGATGCAGGCCAAAAGACGCCGCGCACGCTCGCCGAGCAGAAGGCGGCGTTTTTCGTCCCGCAGTCGCAGGGCGCGCAGGATCGCAGTGGACGCCAGCGCGGCGGGCCGGG